AAAAAAAATGTAATTGTTTTCTTGCAAGGACCAATTCAACAAGAGCTTGGCACTTTTTCTGTACAACAAGCCCAGAAAAACTGTGGTCAAGTTATGCTGCAGTTCATCCTGCTCTACATAATCACCTGCCCCTAAGAAGTTTACATAATTAAACCTGCAACTTATTACAGTCTTTCATATGCTTTCTTGACACCAAGCTACAGTGTACTACAACGCAGTAATAATCATTTTCCTTCTTATATGGATCACTTCAATATTCTTTGGGTAAAATTTTCTTCTAATCAGGTTTTAGAAAAACAACTTAAAAATACATAAATTATGTTTATATACTATACCATAAGCATTAATAAGGTCAAATATAACTATCATTTAATTTTTTTTTGCAATCATCAGTCTTAGATGTCTATTGATCAATGATTATGTTCCACTAATTTTAAATCAAGAAGTGGGAGTGCCCACATATATGAATGACTAAAATAATGCTATCATTGAATAACTAATATTCTATGAGTTTTCTTTTTTTTAAGATTTTTATTTTATTTTCATTTTTAAAGATTTACTTATTTATGTATACAGAACTGGGGTACAGGCAGGAGGTAAAAAGATTCATCAGAGACAGAGTGGGGAGCAGAACAGAGAGATATATTGAAGTACACTGCTGAGGAGAGCAGCAGGTGGGTTAGGAGAGGCTGGGGATAGAACTCATGCTTCAGTGGCTATAATAGCTTCATGGTGCTATGCTTTAACTCACTGTGCCATCACGGAGGGCCCTCTTTTTTTTAGAATTAAAAAAATACTTTTATGCATACAAGAACTGGGGTGAAGGTCAGATGTATAGGGGTGAGCGGATTCACCAGAGACAAAATAGGGAGCAGAACAGGCATATGTACAAAAATACAGTGCTGAAGGGAGCAATGAGGAAGACGGAGAGGTCTGCTGTGCCATGTGGGTTAGCTCCCAGGTCTGGGATCAAACTCATACCGAAGTGGTTAGAGATAGCTTGTTATTACTAAGACTTTAACCCCTGCACTACCAAAAAGGACCCTAGATGAACTTTCACACAATTCCTGCAGGAACAGTAGGAAAGTGGTAGGGAAAGAAAGAAAGAAAGTGAAAAATGGAATGATGAAAGACTAATAGTAACAATTACAATAAGTTTATCATTCATTACTTATGGTAATAAGTTTATTATTCATTACTTATCACAAATGTAAAAGAAAGGCCAAGACATCAAAACTGTTGGAGCCCATCATCACACCTGGAGAACTGGAAATCAAAACAAAAATTTTGAAATTTACTATTTTTGACCTAATTAAAAATAGCAACTGTGGCCCTCCTTGGTGGTTAAAGCACTGCACTAAGAAGCTTAAGCCACTTCCGCATGAGTTCAATCCCCGCCTGCCCCGGAGGAGATCCACATGGCGTGGCAGACCTCTC